CATGTGGGGAACGATTCCCTCCTGGAATCCCACCTCCCATCCCTTAGAGGGGTTTCCAAGCCCTGGAGATGGTGCTGAGGGACATGGGGCAGCGAGGGACCTGGGCAGGGCTGGGGGAATGGGTGGACTTGAGGATCTTAAGGGTGTTTTCCAACTGAAACACCGTGGGGAGGACAGGCAGGCAGGTGGGTGAGCTCCCCAGGTGGAGAGTGGGGTGCAGTGAAACCACCCAGCTTGTTCCAGCCCAGGGTTGCACCCCGGTATTGCCCGGCTCTCCCCCTTCCATCAGGGGCGATCAGTTTGTCACAGCCAACCACAGGCTGTGCTGCAGTGAGAGGGCTGGGGATGGCCAGTGTGTTTCCAGCACTAGTAACCCTTGTCCTGTCCCACCAGGATGGACTGGAGAGGAGCCACAGCTGCACCAGGCAAACAGCAGCCTGAGTCGGGTTTCACAGCCATGGCCCTGTGAGCTGTGACACCCAACACTCCCAGCAGTGATTGGGAACAGTAACCACTGATGGAGAGCACTGGGATTTCCAAGGTGGAGAGGAAAACAGAGAGTTTGGGGAATTAAGGGGTTTGTTTAAAGTTAGGAAATCTGGGGAAGAACTGGAAGCAGGACCTGGATTTCCGGCTTCCCACTCCTGTGCTTGAACTCCAGGCACATTACACCTCCCACTGAAATGAGTAAGAGCAGAAATGTGTTCATCTTTGAAGGGATCTCACTTGTACACCAGAAGGCTCTGAGCACACACAGCCCTCTGGTGAAGGCCCAGAGCACGTCTGAGCAAGCATTTATTTCTTTCATTTTCACCACACACACACAAACTAGGGCTTTTCTTCTCATTCCTTGGATGAAAGGAGGCAGCCTGGTTTCTTTGTCAAATAGGAATGTGGGTCATGAATGCTGTAGTCTAAATTAGGATTATTTTTATATTCTGTTTAGCCCTTAAATTGGTATGAGGAAGGTAAGTGACTGACTTCCCCAGTTCACACTGTCCAGAAAACTAACACATCATTGTCTCACTTCAGCAAGATGCAGTAACATTTAGGCCAAGATTCAAAATTAAAACCAAACCAGCATTTCCCAGTCATTCAGTGAATGCTTTGGCTTTGTAAGGGTTTTGGAACATTTAGCTTTGCAGCCTGAAGTGACCCGAAATCAACCCACAGGGGTCAGTAACTCCAAAGGGCTGCAAAGATTGAGTAAAAGCAGCGGTTTACATCTGAACAAGAGTCGTCCTCAGGTACCTTAGGCTGCTTGCACTTTTTTGGTGCCCATTCACAGCATCAGGAGAAGGTATCTGTAAAGCACAGGGTTTCTTCTTATTTTGGAGGAGCTAGAAATCTCTGGATGATTTGTTTAGTCTCCATGAGAAGCTGTAATAAGCTACAAGCTTAAGAAATGCAATACAATCCAACGTGAAGAGTAACGTTATTTGTGTTCTGAAGAAACACCTCCTGGCTTGTGGCACAGGATATTCCCATTTTAGGTGAGATCATGATTCTGTTCCACTTCCCAGCAGGTAATGCCCAGTCATTGCTCCTCAGGCACCAAGGCCCTGGTTCCCAAGCAGGAGAGCTGGTGGGAGGTGGAAGCGCAGCACAGCCATGGAATAACCACCTCCAACAGAGATGGCTTTGCTGATCTATGTGGGAGCACCAGGAGCTGAGGCCCAGGATGGGCTCACAGCTGGGAGCTGAGGGCAGAGCTCGATGGCCACACCACCCAGAGCTCTTGCCTCACCTTCCTGGTGAGGACTGAGCTGCATGGGGAACAGAACACTCTTCACCCAGGCTTGTTAAACAAACGTTGTTTTATTCACACAAGGCAATGCACACATATTGCAGACAGGAGGCCACATGGATACTCCAGCAGAACAAACTGCAAACTCTTTAAGACAATTTTCTGTAAGAACTGTGGTACATCTATTACCCAGGACATGTTCCCCTCAAACCCTGGACAAAGCAGGAGGCAGAAGCTTGCTCTGAACTCCAGGTTGAGGCTGCCATTGGCCACGTCCCTTGCTGGCCATCCCAAAGATGTCCCTGTGCTGGTGAAGGCAGCAGAGCTGTGCCAGCCTAGCCATGCTTAGAACCTGCCCCAGCTCTATTTCCTTTCCTTCATGTTCCATTTTCACCAATTCAAAACATTTTGAATCAGCTTCATTTAAAATTTAACTGGTAAGAGCCATAAATTCTAAAAAGTTATTCGTTCAACAGACCCATCACAGTGTTCAGTGTAAGCAAGAGTAGTGCCTGTTATTTCTTAGAAAAGATGCATAGATAAAAAGAAGGAAAAACCCCAAACCCTTCCTATCAGAAAATAACTCCTGTAAGAGATTGCAGCTGCAGCCAGGGCCCCCTCAGCTCCCCTTTCTGAGGGGCAGCCTCCAAAAGAATGACACAGGCCCATGGCCATCTACCAACAAGACCTGAAGTGAAACCAACACAGAACATTCCCTTAGAGTTTTGCTTGTCACAAACACAACTATGGTTTAACATTGTGATTTCTGAACCAAACGAAACCGACGAGGCGTTTGTCACACCCAGGCTGTAGGAAAGAGCAGAGCTTCTCCAAACACATCTCTGTGGTCACACTACAGACAAACCCAACTGCTGCTTTTACCTGACTATAACTTAGACAAAACACGTTGCCAACTCATACTAGAAAAAAATTGATCTAGTATTGATATTTCCCAACACTCACCGAACAAATATATTACAATAAAATTCTCATTATAAAGTCACACAAATTTCTATGTTAACCATCAAGAGTTTACATGAAAAAGCAGAGGTTCTCTACCATTGATTCCTGATATAAAACAGAAGGTAGAAACCTAATGTAGAAATCCCAAGTTAGATAAATCCTTTGGCAGCATGTTCAGTTACAATCAGGCCTTAAAAATAAATATGATAATGTAGAGAAGTATGGAAGAGAAAAAACAGATCCTATTAACACCAAAACCCTCTAAATACACTATTTTAATAATAATTAAATTATTTTACACTATCTACAAGTTGCATATCACAGAATTAGGAATATAAGAGATGACAGAATGACAAATCCTGCTTTTATAAAATGTCAGGCTTCGACAGTGCGCGCACATGTAGCTGTGTAGAAAATCTCAGACAAATGAGTATGTACATTATTTATATTTAATAATGAACTGAACATAATTAAAGCACATCTAACCATCCCAATTTCAGATACTCAATATTTCTGTTGGACCAAAGCTTTGAATCCAATAAAAAAACCTACCTTAGTCTCAATCTACTAACAAACACAGAGGATCTACAAAAGACAGCAAGGTTTAGTCTGACTACACACCAACTTGGAACAAAGTCAACTCCTAACATTCTTAACAACTCTTACAAAAAAAAAATAAATCTCAAAACAATAAGAATTTTGAAGAGCAGCATTGATATTATTTCTCTTAAAGAACAACTTGTCAAAATGCTTCAGTATTGCAACATGTGTTATTTATACCAAATGACTTTCGAGGGGGGGGGAAGGATGAAGGCAAATTAAAGTCATGTCAAAAGGAAAGACAAAAGCTTCCTTCCAATTGCACACATTTAAATTAAAAAAATGGTTTAAGGAGGAGGTACTGAATATCATACTGCAGAAGCAAGAGGCTGCAAATGAATAAGGTCATGATACTAAATAATTAACTGAAAGGTAAAAGGAATGGAGGTGGCACTGAGTGAAGGGGGGGTTATTACTCAACAACAGCCTCCAAGCTGACAGTTCTCATTTGGTAGAAAATTCACTTATTTAGACACCTGGGAGTTACATCCATTTAATCAAGATCTTTTTATCAGTAACTTGCTTCCATTATTTTCCCAATCTACAGATTATTACTCACCATGAAATTGCTAAAATAGGTATAAATATGACTGCTAAAGTGAGCAGGTAAACAGGAGGAGAAGGAAGTTATTTTTTTCAGAGGTTTGAATAAAAGAAAGAAATCCCACATTCCTGAAAGATAATTCAGTTTATCTGCTCCTCTTGCACAAAATCCACCCATCAAAAAAGTGCATCAGGGAAGAAATGCTCACATTTCTTTTCTCAGCCACCAAGAGCTCCCAGGCAATTCTCCTTCTCAGGACATGGGTTCTCCACAGGCACCTGCTCCTCCTTATAGCAAATGATGAGAACAGTCCCACTCACCAAGCACGTGCATTCTGCCTACACGGTGTGTCAAACACACCTTTTCAAATGGTGTAAGAGTTTCCCTGGCTGCAATCATAATTTAGAGATGGAAATGATGGCAGAGAAAAGAAAGCAGCCCTGGGAGCACAGCCCTGGCCTGCGAGGCTTGTGCTCACAGAACGACCTCTGCCAAGGGACACCAGCGAGCCCCGGCAACACCCCACCCTTTTCCTTCAACAGAAGCACATCAGGAGGTCCCTGTAGTTTCCCAAGATCTAATAGGCAGCACTGCAAAAATCTCATTTCTCCACGGCCCTCACTACCACAGTATCAAATCATTTTCTCTTCCAGCTGTTCCAGTTCTGCAGAACACGTCCCCGTGCTGGGGGAAGGTGGTGCCTAAGTCAGCAGGGATTCCCTAAAAGCCACCTGGACAGAAGAATTACAGTAAGATACCAGAGGAGGCAATGCAGAACCAGAGCAGTGTGCAATAAGGATTTAGCTCCCTCAAGTTTTCATAAACGTGTTCAAAAGAAAACTATTTGTGGACAATCTTTTAGCTTAGGATTCACAAGTTTCTTGAAGCCACTGCAAGAAGGGCCCAGAGTCACCTGACGTTATTTCAAAAAACCACCAGCTGTCTTCATGCAAATGTTTAACAATCAGATCTGATGTGTATTTTTACTCTGCAATAGGTGGGGTGACTTAAAAGGAAAATGTATTTTGATACCAGTGACAGGTCCTCACAAAATTCACTAGGTCAGGCAACCTGTATTCATGGATTCAGAAACACGAGCCGGTTTGTTTTTAAAGGAGGGGCTGTTGATGGTAATTTGTTTGTTGCTGTAGAACGGAATGAGCAGGAACTGCCACGGGATAAGCTGGTCCTTGAGGCAGACTCGATGTGTTGTTCTGGTAGGCTGCCATATCCAGGGACATTCCCAGGGGCTGTGGGGGGTAGGCAGCTGTGCTGGGGGGCTGGCTCACGTAGGGCTGCGTCAGCACAGGATCCGGTCCTGGGCTGCAACGAAGCAAAACAAATCTAACTCTGACACCTTCATCTCTCTGAGAAGCAGATTTGAACATAAGGACACTGCTTAGCCCGAAAGCGACCTGTGTACTTTCAAAATGATCCAACAGCTTTACGTGCACACCCCAAGAACACAAAAGCTCCAGACAAGCAGTAACATCACCATCAGAAGAAGCTGATTTAAGAGCTGGCTGAAGCGATACCTTAAATACGCAGCTTGAGCTGGCTGAGCTGCTCCAGAAGAATTGATGCTTTGAGGCAGAGACCTCAGCTGCCCCATCTGGTCAGGTCCTAGGCTGTAACCTGGGGCCATGGTGACTTGGTGAACACCCTGGACCATGTAGTTTCCACTAGGTGGCTGTACAGGATATGACTGTAAATAAAAAAACAACACTGTGTACCTTTTGTACTCCATTAAATACCAGTAAATGTGGCACAGAACAGCACTGCCACAACCACAGCTTAGGGTTCAAAGGCTGAATGAACAAATTAATTTTCCAACAAGGTTTTAAAACCATGTAACTTCTCATAAGATGTGTGAATCCTTTGTTTCAACTGAAGGTCCCTCTTTCAGAAATGCCCTCCTGATGAGGTCAGCAATTAACATCTGAAAGAACAACCTTCTGTATCATTTACAAGACCTCTGCCCCTCCCAGAAACCTGATTTCTTTCTCTCTCATTTGGCTTGTCTTGAAAACATTCAATCCTTGCATATTTTGATGCATGGAGTTGAGTAGGAAGATGAGCATCACACAAGATTTGCTATTTAACACATTTGGGAAATGAAAACATAAGAATATTCTAAGACTGTAACACCAAAGGAAAGCAAGAACTTGAGTTTCTTGCATGTCTAGCTTAAGACAATGCAAAGTCTTTACTCAAAATGCAGACAGGACAGGTGGTATAAGATGCCTCCTCTGCAGAAGCCTCCTCTGCTCACTGGGTTTGGACTTTGGATGGCAGATGGACACAGAAGGATCAGCTTTGTACCAAGTGACCAGGCTAAGCTCAGCACAGTTCACATTAACTTATGTTTCTCATCACTGGAAGCCTGCATCTTGGAAGGAACAGTAAACTCCAGATGCCTTTTGCCTAAAATTACTTTTTACCCTCCAAATATAACAAATTTTCCATCGTTACCAGGAGTTAAGCACACGGAATTACTTTTAACTGACATTTTCAGAGCTGGCAGTTGCTATGGCAACTATTCTTTTCCCACGGAACAATTAACATTGAAGTAAAATTCACTTGAAGTAACAACACTGATTCTGTGCTTTCTCCAAAAAGGATCTTTAAAATATCTTTTTTTCTTCCATTTTTGTTTGCTTAAAACATCAATATGGCACAGAGGTACTTTTACAGTTTTGAGCAACTCCAACCTCTAATACAACACGTTCATTTCTTAAAGGGGGGAAAAAAGAGCTAAAACCAGACTAGTGTTTCTATTTTTAGCACAAGTACACTGCACTTATGATTAATGCACCAGTATTAAAGTTCCTTCACATCCCCACTATGAGGTAAGAAGGCAACATTTTACTTGAAGCCTGAGGACATGACTCACAGCAAGAAAACCCACCAAGATGCTGAAACACACAATTCCAACTGCAAAAAATGAACCGTGGAAGGAACCTTTTTTATATTTTCAATACAGCAGCTTTCTGTTAAGTAGAGCAAAATTAACTACTACATTTGACTGCACAAGCAGGTAACTGCAGATTGAAGGATTCTGTTCTAGTGCCTACATGGCATTTTATCCTCAAGGCTGTAAGAAGTCACCAGGCAATGTCAGCTTGTTGGTAAGGCTAGCAAGAAAGCACACGCTTCATTTCTGCTGTCATCTTTTTTAATAGAAATCTATATTAGGAAGATCTCTATTTCCAGAGAGGAGTACTGACCTGCACTGAAACACCAGAAGATGTAGGTGGGTATTGTGCAGGGTGGTGGAGTTTTGAGTAGGCCGAATACATCGGTGTTTCATTCATCAGTTTGTTGTAGAGCTCCAGGGCTTCTAGAACTTTCACATTTAATTCTGATAATTCCGAATGCTTTCTGTTGCCAAAGAAATAAGTGCAAAACACTGATTTTCTCCAACATCTAGTAAAAAAGGTGGTTCATTGAACAGTTTTGAATAGGCAAGAGAAAAACCTGACAAAGTAGAGGACAGATTTCTTACACATCTCTCTTGTAACACTGCCCTTCTGCCCCTTACACCAGTTTCCTACAGCAATGGGACTGGGAGGACAGTCCAAGTGGTGAACACCTACTCCTCCCCAGCTGCAAGAAGGCAGGCAGCTCCACAGGGGTCAGTTACCTTTTCTTTTCACCCTCAAACACCCCTAAGAGGCTGAGGGGGAAGATGTGAAGCTACTGTTGAACAGATGTCACTGTCAGGGAAAACACTCAGCAGCAGACTGGACATACCAAGCTCCAGACAGACTGCAAAAGGCTACAGTCAAAAAACACTAAGTCAAATGCACCCAGGAGAGCAGCAATCAAACCTTAGTACCCATCCTGGGACCTTGGTGCCTAAGTATTAAAAAATAAAGGTAGATTTGTCAAGCATTACTTTCTGGCAAGGTTTTCTAGCTTGGGAGATAAACAATGTACAAAAAACCAAAAACACAAAGGCACAATTTCAAGTAAATGCCAGTAACTAATGCAGGAGCTGCATTGTGGCTCACCTATCTATCTCTTCTAGTTTTTCATCTATCATTGGTCCCATCTGCTGACAAATATCTGTGGAGACAAAAGCATCAAGGTAATGTCTTGCACAATTGGAAGTTTAAATGTTAAACCGTTTAAATGCTGAAAGTTAAAGTAAAAAATACTTTATCCAAGTACACAAAGACAGCATAAGGAATTGGAAAGTGCAAAGTGGATAGATCTTGCAAAGATCAGGCCTTGAGCACTAGCTGGAAGTTATGCAAATTACTCTGCTAAACACGGAGTTGGCTTGGCAACTATTAGAAAATTCAGTTATACATACAGCTCCCACTGAGACATAAGCTGTGCTACGGCACACTGTGAGCACAGGCCAGGGTTTCTCTGAGCTTAAAATCAAGGCAAAAGAAATACCAGCTCAATTCACAGAAGGCAATTGTAAGAAGAAATACAAAAACCAGCTAACATAGTGCTCTAAGTACCTTCTGAGTCTAGAAGATCTGGAGAATCAAGCTTTAAATCTGTAGGATCTATACTCTGAAGCACCTGCAATGTTTTATCCATCTTATCCTGAAAGATGAACAGAAGATTCAGAACAGGAATTTCTGAAGCATGGCAGAGATTGTTTCATTTTTCAAAGAAGAAAAAAAAGTCCTTTTTCATATAAAAAGAATTATCTGCTAACATTCAGTAACAAAAGACAGTTTCAACCAACATAAAGTCTCAGCATTTTTTAGATTGAAAGTGACTGCATACCTCATCTATATAAACTGGCTCAGGTTCTGCTTTCTTAATTTCTTCTGTAGTATCCTCAGGAGCAGAATTTTTATCCACAGTTGCTGAAAGAACAAACATTGGTTTCTTTTCTGCAGCTGTGTTACTGTGGTAACTTGAAATATACATTTTGTCTCTTTAAATGAGAGAGAAATTTGAATAAGTACTTCAGGCACTGACGTGCCTTGCTGCTGGAGAAAGGAAAATGGGTTTGCCTGGAAAATGTTCTGACAAGCTGCTTCCCTTGGGCTGTTAGCCTGAGTATGAACCTAGGCCCAGCAAGGGAAGACTCTAGAGTCATACCAACATCTAAAAACACCTCCAACACATCTACAGCTCCTTTTAGCCAAGTCGTAAGTGTTAAGATTTATTTTGGTATCACCAGCATGAATAAAGCTCACAATGTGATTCCTACAAACCACTGACATGGGTATGAATGTTGCTCTGTACTAGGACTGATGTCTGAAAAGAGGTTTGACATTTGAAATGGCAAGTTCCTGGATTCATTTGTGCTTTGTTACTGACAAAGAATTGTGGTAAATGGAACTGAATTTCTGTAGCAGGAAGAAGGTAACAACTCAAAAGGGAATCAGGAGCAGTGGTGCTGAAACAAGGGCAGAATATTTCTCTCTCAGTTCTTTCCTTGGGCTGGTTGCAGGACATTATTTTGCTGAGGGGCTAATTAGTAGTTCCACCACAAGCCCTCCTTTCTAAAATAACCTGTCAGCTTTTAGTAGCTAACTTACCTGCCTCAGGTTCCACGTTTAAGTCAGAAGTCACAAAATTAGATGGGAACAGTCCTACTCCTCTGTGATTCTCACCTTTCCACCAGTTGGCATCACTGGGGAAATAAAGATGCATTACAAAACAATGAACACTAATGCTCGTGTCAGGGACATATTTTGGGCTTTTGACAGAAAACTTGTGATATTTAATGCTCTGCTTCCCTGTATATCTGGTAACAGAGGCAAAGGAGAACACTGGTAGAGATGATGAACAAAGCCAAAGACAGGAGCTGGGGCAGAGGGACCAGGGGAAATAAAATCACTTAGTAGCAGTCACTCAAAATTGAACACAACTCTTCAGTCCTGTAGCCTGATTAGATGATAGCTCATTACAGCTTCATCTAAAAGCTCCCAAGAAGCACACAAGTGAGGACTAGCATTAGTAGAAATTAATGGTTGGACTCTATGATCTTGAAGGTCTTTTCCAACCTAAGAGATTCTGTGTGAAATAGCATTGATCTCTCACAGTCTATTGAACTAGAAAAAACATTAGCAGGGAAGAAGTTCTGCTTCTTGGCTGTCTGTGGGGCAAAGGTGATTACAACAATCATTATCTTCAGGTTTTTTTCTTTAGTTTTATTCTTAGCAAATATGACAGGTGACAGCCAGAGATTTAACCATTTCTGTAAGTAGCCAGAATTTAGCCCTGGAAAGCATATGTATATTCTTATGACATATCTAACATGTATCTTAAAAACTATAAACAAACTGGACTCAACCCACAGCATGAAATACCCAGTGCAACATGGTGAGCTGCTCCTTGCACCAAAAAGGACTGGAGTTCAAAAGCTTGGGGTATGGAAAGAACAGAGGAAGATAAAGGGATCTGAGGGAAGGCCAGAGTGACAATCTACACTTCTGTGGGGGAAAAAAGCATCAGAGGAAAAATTTGCTATGGTGAGAAAACAACAGTTCTGGAATAAGGGCATCTTCAGAGTATAATATACCTGTCATCCAAAACAAAAATAATCTCTCCACTTTTGAAGGTGAGCTCATTGTCCTCGACAGCTTCAAAGTCATACAGAGCTCGCACCTTCCTCGAGTTCTGGTTGTTCTGCTGAATCTCTGCTGATGGGTACAAGGATTTAGTTTCCATTTGTTGCTGTTTCTGCTCTTGCAAGGACAATTCAATAGCTACAATTAGGGGAAGAAAAAGAAGCAGGCTGTGTATTTTATTGCTGTATACAAAGACGGTTTGCTTTCCTAATCATAGTAGGAAATATTTATAGGCTATACTATAAACACATTCTGTAATTGCCTCTCTCATATTTTAGGTTGAAAATCTTTGCTCCAAACTGCTAGCTATATTGCACATCTCAACAGCTTTACTATGTCCTGCAACAGGATTAAAAGACCAGATGTAACCATGCACAAGTTATGGAATATTTTAAAACCCCTCTGCTCCCCAAAGTACAGCCCACTTCTTGAAGCAGTGCACACATTAATGTCAGCAGCATCATTAGCAGGACCAGAAACATTGACAAGTTCTCCACTGTCACATCTGAGCAACAACTATATGCAACAGAGAGGAAAAAGAACAGAACATTTAAAATGTTCCCATTTTGTTAAAAGATCAAAACGTAGGCTTGAAATAAAACCTGTGGGTGCAGAAGGGAAGAGACCAAGCTCAGTGGAGAGAAAGCAGTCACCACACAATGCTAATGGCTCTGTGATGGAGAAGAACATATCCCACCCCAAATCCTTGTCCAGCAGGAAAACACCTTGAATGATACAGTATCCTGATTTCCAACCTGCTGCATCCTTGTTTTCAGTTCTGTGCAATTTCCTATTTCTGTGCATTTTAACAAAGCTTCTAAAGCACCAGGCTGTGACCAGCAGTTTACCTTTTGCTATATCTTCATCTTCTTTGTTTTTACTTAATGAGGAGCCATTCTTGGCAGCAGTTGTGGTAGCCTGCAAATATGGTAACAATAGAGGAAGTTCAGGTTACAAATGAAAAAGAAAGCTCTATAATTATATACTTTCAAATATTAGTGCTAAGTTGTTCCTGGTTAGCTGTCTCAGTGCAGCATTTCACTACTGAATCAAAGTGACCTTCTAGAAGAAAAAAAACTGCCATGCTTCAGAATCCCAGCCAGATTTTATTTGGTTTTCAGCAAGGAACAAAGCAAAACAAATAATCAGACCTCATTTAAGTAACTGATCTAATTTAAATAACTATTTTAGTCTCATCTATTAAAGTGAAAGTACTCATTGAAATGACTGCTCCATCCACCTTTCCTCTCCACTCCTCTAGCAGAGAAGAAAGGCTCTTTGGAGTCCTGTGTCATTGAAGCAGCAGCTGGACTGGCTGGAAAAGGAGATCTCTCTCCATATCAGAGCAAAAAAGTCACCCTCTGCCTCTGCTTGTGGGGCAGAGGGAAGGAAGAGCAAATGGACATCAAACTGAGAGCTGCTGACTTATGAGTCTCCACAACAGCACAGTGAAATCATTCTCAGATTTTTCATTCCAAACAGGAAGTCTTCCCAAACAAACCTAGTTTTGGACACTAGCTGTGTCCAGGAGTTCTCAATGGTCCTAGATAACAAACCTGTGTGAGTTCAACAAATACTAATAAACCTCAGCTTTGCTTGTTTGAAGTGCAGTATATGAGGTAAAAACATCAAGATGTCATTTAATAGGTATTTGTAGACAAGGAAGCATAACTGGTTCCAGTACTCTACATCTTCCATGTTTAGGCCATATGTTTTAACACATATCCTAGATTTAGAACTGAAAACACCTTTGTGGAGGAAGGAAAGATTGTAAAAGTAAAAAAATCCTTCTGTGTTTAATACAGAGAAAAGAAAACTTCATGTAAGGAATATGTAATAGAACCTGTGGTTCTAATTTTCAGATCTGATCTTCACCTGACCCATCATTAACATGAATATATTTAGAATCATCAATAATAAAGTGTAGGAAAAAAACATACCTGTCATCATATTTGATGATTAGACATAATACACTCCCAGAAGTAAAACACAAAGTGTGAGAGGTTACGTCTGAAGAGTGCCCTAGCTACTGCAGAGTCAGGACAATCCCTGATAAGGACATGTAACTGCATGAAAAAGAAATGGGGACTTGGAAAAGGAAAGTACAGCACAGATGATCTTCGAAAAAGTGTCTCCATTCCAGAGACTGCCCTTTGTTTAGTGAGGCTGTGTCAAGAAAAATGAAGCTATGTGCTCCACGTCAGCAATTAGAAGCATGAAACACCAAGTACACACTGTGGGTGTAGAATTGCTTGGATTTAAGGTGCTGACAGCTCAATGAAGTTCTAAAAATGATCAGAAGGAAAGAAGGATGTAAAATGAAACGACTCATGAGGGCGGCACAAAATAACCTTGAGTCTGTTCTTACTTTTCTTAGGAAGGCATGGATATAAAAAAGGAGAATGAATAGAAGTGAACCTCAGCATTCCAACAACAAGGATCCTACTCCCCTCTGATAAGGAAAGATCTCACTTGGACAGCTTTTCATGTGTTCACTGCCACATGCTCACTAACAGAACCACTTGCCCCAAAGCAGCTTTTACCTGCGACCCAGCTGCAGGAAAAGTTACACCTTCTTCTTTCAGAGATTTAATAGTTGCAGATATTAAGCTACACTGAGGGTCCTTCTGAAATTCTTCTGACCACTCCACCATTAGAGCTTTTAGCTTTTCAGATACTTTCGGATGAGCCTAGAAGACAAAATTGCACAGAAAATGATTGTACCTCAAAATGAACAGAAACAGTTGTCCCCTCTGAGTAAAGCTTTGCTACCAAAACCATTTTACTATAAACACCCTTAATAACTGATAATTTTCTTGATTGAGAAAATTTGGAACACGGAGTCTAGAACATATAGTCTTTTTTTGTATACTGATTCTGATACTAAAGATAACATGCTCAGCCTCTGGAGCATCACCCTCTCACTGGGAAGCTGGCATAGCTGTTTCCACCACCTTTAAAGACCTCCAAGCAGCAACACACTGCAGGCACTTCAGACTTCCCTGGTTCTACCAAACAACTGATTATGTTAAATCTGGGATCCTCCAATAATCACAGTCCTCTGAATCAAAAGCTTAGCTCTTGCAGGCAGCTCACCTGCCTACACTGCTGTTATTTTAGTGGAGTCCTTTTTAGATGGTTAAGGAAGAAGACTGACGAGCTTTCTGACTTTTCCAATGTAACCCATGCTTTAACCTCAACATTTTTTGAGAGATTCAGGCTGTCTACCACACATACCCTAACTTTTCTGCACTTCTGTGGCAGTAACCTTATATTTTACCTATGTTTTCATGACTTCTAATTTGTATTGTCATTCCCCTCCCAACCCCAGAAGTTTATCTTGTAGGGAAGGATAGTATCTTATATTAGACCATTCCCCTTTTCTACCTTGTACAATCTCTGCTATCTTCTCCTCACATACCAGAACACACTCCTCCCTGCTGACTCCTCAGCTGACAGAACCTCACAAAAATCTGATCTTTGTACCATCTCTGTATACACATATCTATGTATGTATGTTTCCTTGATCAGAGACTCCCACAAAAAAGGAATTAGGGATTTATGGAGAACTGAGGTGCAGGGACACAGTCTGGAAAAGGAAGGTATTTGGCTGGAGTGGGGAAAAACCAGGATCAAGCTCGTGCTCTGTCTGCAGCTCCCCTGGATCCCACATTCTTCTCTGGCCTCTTGCACTGAAGAGCCTCTACAGTTCCCCTTCCTTCACAGGATTTACAGCTACTCTAAATCCACACAGGACCCCTGACTTCATTCAAAAGTGCAAACTTTACATGCTAACAGCCTAATCCAAAGTGATAATCCACCTGCAGAAAAGCAGGTCAGTCATGTATTACTCTGCTGTATGGCTAAAGAACACCCTTTAGAGAACACCTCAGTGACACCAAGCATCAGCTGCTGTTCAACTTGGAATCATGTAATAGCCTTAAAAAATTAATCAGAGCAAAACTAGCAACTCTTCAATAGAGCAGCTAAAATATGTGGAGGTAACATCAACACTACGAGGGTAGAAGATGGACCAAAGCACTTCAAACTTCACACACTTACTGGTTTTGTTGACAGTTGATAAAGACTATAGTTTGAACCCAAAGCATCCAAACCAACCTCAGACACTTACTGGTGAATAAGGGTTCTGGGGCTGCTGGGCTCACCTACAGCTGCTTCCTTTGGTTTGTATGGATAAGAGCCTGGACTGCAGAAATGCAATGCCTGGCCAAACCTTCTCCCTTGAGTATGGCTCAAATCCCATCCTGAGCCTGTGCCTCACATGAAAACATACACTGAACATAATAATAACATGGACAGGTTTGGGCTCAAGCATGCATTTCATTGAAAGAAGAGATGTAGCTTGATAGGCTCAGTATCAGCACAAAGACATTTGTTACACTTGTCTGAACTAATTTTCTTTTGGAGAATAGGGAGAAATTACAATTTTATCTGCCCTCTGAAGAATAAAGAGGTCCAAGTGGACCAGGAACAGGGGTAAAACATAAGCATTCCCCAGCAACAAAACAAATTATGCTCCAGTAGACCATTCTTCAGTGGGATTAAAGGTTTGGTTTTACATCCACAAGTGCTGTCAGACCATGAAGGTCAATGTCCTATTTCAGAATGGACCCTGACTAATGAGAACAAAGGGGAGGACTTCAAGACCTATTTTTCCCTACAAAGCAAGAAACAGAAGAGCTGTGAACTCATTTTGCTTCCCAGCAATTTTATTAGTTTCCTTAATTGCTTTGCTCCACCTCTGATGATTCCAGGCCTCCCATATATTTGAAGACTGACTTCTTTTTAACCATTTTTGTCTTCAACTGGAGCAGTAATTAGGGGAAAGCTGTTTCTGCTTATTCAATTCATTACATCCAGATTTAGATCCCATCACAGCTGCTTGACCTTAACCATTAAGGTCTTCCTCTCTTGGTTACCTCCTCATTTAGCATTCTGAGAATCTCTGGAAAGTAAGAAAGTTCTCTGAAGATTTTATCCTTTTCCTTGTAAAAGGTTTTCTCACAGTTTTCCCTTTTCCCTTCAGCCCACAAATTTCATTCAAGCCAAATAAAAACTCTCTTCAAGACAAACTGTCTTCACCATTATCAAATTAATTAAGCTTAGGAAGAGCCACAGATTTTAATTAAAATTGCTCATGGAATTTTGTAAGGATTTGGAGTAGGTATTGTCAGCCTGTCACTTCTTTAATGTATTGTATTGTCTTAGTAAAAATTCAAGTACAGTGACAAGACAAACAGCTGTATCTGCAACTGCACCAGAATGAGAAAACACAGATGAATTAGAACATTAGTCTTTCTAATTCTTTGCTATGCAAAGAAGTTACCCAAATAATTCTGCCCCCGTATTTAATGTCATTAAAAAATTACCTTATTTATTATACCTCGAGCTTCACTAGCGAAATCCCGAGAACATACTTCTAAGTGAAATATTTTTCCACAGTTTGATACACAGGCTCCTAAAAGCTGACAAGAGAAACACAATTGTGAAAATGTGTTACAATGAAAATAAGCCAAAATAAAAGCATACATTTAAAAAAGAGTTAAATTTAGTCCTCTGTTCAGCATGCACACTCTCACTGACTTCTACTGAAGATCTGTAAAGGCACCAGTGCACGTTTACTGCTCAGCACAGATTTCATAGCTGTGTTACATAAAAGAATACAAAGCTTCTTGAAAATAGTGATCAGCTACTCACTGTAAGTGCTTGCAAAGCCACATGGGGAACTTTATGGTTTACTCTTTTCATGATGGCTTTAAGGCAATCCTTTGCTCTGCAACAGGAACAAAGAAACTATTAGTGACAGATGTGACTGACATGGCCTGCAGAATGAAGGACACCAGACACTCCAGTTTTAAGCAAACAAAACAGGGTCTATTGAAACAAACAAAAGAAAGGAACCTAAACTTTTCCCAGAGCTAGTTTGGAAAAAATATTTAACAATTTGTTTGCTCTTATATGTGCATTGGATTGGAACAGATTCCATTTTTAAACTGTCATTTTGTATCAATTTCCATACAACTGCTGACAGGGCACAAAGGGAGCAATTGCCATTAGGTCGAGGAAATGGATTTTTAATAGACAAAGGGTGAAATATCTACATTTAAAACAAAAAATGAGGAGCAGCGATGATTAAGTTACATGGTTATTTTACTGGCTACTGTGAAGGGTCTCCATGGATTTAATTCCCAAGTCATGCTCACAAGTTATCAGCTCTTGGATCCCATTTTCAAGACACCAAGGACACACAGATTTTATAATTTGTTTCACCAAAATCTGAGATAATTACAGAACAACGATGAGCACCCTAGATCTAGATGTTACTCTACTAAGGGGTTTCATACTTTAAATGAGTATTAACAGCTTGCATGAGCTACATGGGCTGAGGCACTCATGAAGCTTCATGAACACTTATTTTGAACCCCCAAAACATGAAATCTCTCTGTAATGCATCATCTTTACAGCCAGTGTGTCCCTTGCAGTAGGTTGGTGCTGCTCTACTGTCAAAGCAGAGGCATGTCCCTACAAGGCTGCTTTCCTCCATGTCCCCCTGCCATCTCAGCTCCAACAACCTCTGCTCTTCACCACCAAGGCTCTGGTTCCCTGGTCACTTGAAGCAGGCACAAGTGAAAGCCACTGATGAAAGGTGTGGGCCAAACAAAACACCTTCTGTCCCAGTCCTGTGGCAATGCAGTCTCCTTCCTTCCTGGAATGAGGCTTCAGCAGTCAGGCAGTGCCTGGATCCAGGAACTCAAGGAACTGAGCATGTTAGTTTTCAGCCAAATCACCATTCAGATCAGAGTCACCAGGAATCGCTCACACAAGGGACAAAAAGAAATATTTGACAACCCTCTTGAATGTACATTCTCTCTTCTGCTATTCTCAAGTCATCATGGAATTGCAACTCTTGGCAAAGCTTAAAAAAGCCCATGCAGAAATGAAACCAAAACTGTTTCACTGTTAACATTACAGAAGATGTTTGTTTCAATGATCTGTTTGAAAAGATGCCAGGTTGGATGCATCCTGTGTACAGCAGTGAGAAAGATTTTATGTCACGACAGTAAGTAAGATCATGAACTGCATCTATATTTACATTTTGAAACAAGTTTTATGATCGTTCCCATGTGCTTCACCTTTAGTTCACAGTAGAGTTTTGTGCACACAAATTAATTTCCTTTTGGAAGGAACTAAACCAGATCCTCTGTGCACACCAAGTGTTCTCCAGCCTCTCAAGGAGCCGTGGCAGGCAGAGCCAGTGACAGAATTTGCAGACAAACTTACACCAATACTGGTGTGGATATGAAGCTTGGGGGAAGAGATTGAACCTGTTCTGAAGGGGGGGGGAAAAAAACCCCAAACACCATAAGCTGCAAAGCGGGTGGATGCAGTGGCTTCAGAACCAAGTGCCCTGGTTTAGTGCTCCAGTCCTATTGTTCTAAGTCACTTGATGTGCACAGAGCCAGAGAAGTTTGGTTTTCATCCTAACAGTGAGTATGTTTGGGCATAGTTAATACACAAAAAATCCAACAAAGACAACATACCTGTTACTAAGCTATATATTTAAGGGTAGACAACAATATTTATTATTTTCAGGGCTCTTAGTGAAGGACAGGAAGGAAGAAAACCACACAAAATCAAAGTAAAATACTAGTGGTCATGGCATGTAAAATTCAGAATTCAGAATGTTCTTGTATAGACAAAAATACACATTAAGATTTAAGTTATCTTGCATGTGTAATTTAAGAAAAACAAAAACACCTGAATTTTTTACCATCTCCCTTCCTCCAACCTAAGTAGATTTAAATCAGGTTCTTCTACACAAGTCTTTTGGCAATAAAACAGGTTTTTAATAAGGGGCTAAAAGGACACTACATTTTTTTTCCCCTTCAGGACTAAAGACACCCAGATTTAATAGATTTGCTATTGATCCCCATTGGAGATAATTAATCGTAATATTAAAAAAGCAACCCAGAATTTTCTCAGTGTAGTAATCTGAAACTCTACATCTAAGGCACAAAAATTCTAAGCTCACTTAGGAATTCAGCCTACGCACTAACTCAAGTTTACTTCACAATTTAAAACATGTTATTACTCAAAAAGATTACCTTAAAATTCAGCAAATAATTCTGGCCATTAAAGACTCACTGAGCTACCACTTATGTTTCAGTATTACCCCCTCAGCCTAAGTAAGTTCAGACTGATTGGTGTCCTGATCTCCATTTTTTCACCCTTTTCTCCTCCCCCAGTCCCATTCCTCCTGATAAATAAACACCAACAAATTGCTCATCACAAGCAGCTAACTGTCCCAGCAAGATCATTTTCTGCACAGAAACTAGTTCCCTTTTCCTGCTGGCACAGTTGCTTCTCAAAATGTATGCAAGAGCATTAAATATGAACAACTTGGCCTACTGTGCAAAGCTCCATACAAACTGGAATGCACTCAACATTCACTAACAGCTCTACTAGAAATCCTGCTGGAACATTTCTTTCAAAGAATTTTAAAGCCAACTCCACGTATCTGTGGAGCCTGCAGAAGAGTCAGGCTGAGAGTGCTTTGTGCATAGCTGATTACGACCAGCATTTTGAGACACCTTCCCTCTGAAATGGTGGTTTTCTTCCCTTGAACATGCATTGCTACATTGTGATGTGGATCCAGCTTACCCATTGGGAGTACTTCCAACTTTGTCACAGATATCCATAATAAGCCCCCAGTCCTCGCTGGTGTTATATTCATTTGTAGCTTTTTCTATAAAGAGAAACAAGATTAAGTGTAACATCCTGTTAAGTTCAGATTCTCCTCAACAAACACTTTCTCAACCAGAAGAGGAGACTCCACATGTGGATTACTGAGAGGTGGCATCTCCAACAGATGAGCACCAATCCCTGCTTCTTGTAAAGCCTTGTGTGCAGTTTTCAGCACTGGACTAACAGATGTGAGAAGGATTTAAAAGTTCTGAAAACAGAAACAGCTCTTCCAGTGTAGTGTTGTAAATGACAAGAGAAACTGCTTCTGTACAGTTTGTTTAGTTACTCCAGGCTGAAGTCAGAGCCCAATTTCTGAGTTCACTCAAAGTCTCCTCAGGTTTACACACCAGTAAATATTTCATATGGATGCTCCAAGAAAAAAACAAACAACAAAACAACAAAAACAACCCTAAACCAACAAGAAACCCCCATTCTTTAGGAATCTAAAGGAAAACCACCTCCTCATTCAATACACTTCTTAATATTTTTTCTACTACATTTTTCAGGAACTCTAAACACACTCAGCAAGTGCTAAGAAAAAGGAACGGGATGGAAGGATTAATCAAGAACAGAGAAGGGGTACTGCTCTGTGGAAAGAATGTATCTCTAATTAATGTTTGCAGCATATAATTCTATAAATTAACTGATAAGATTTAATGCTACTTATTTCTGCTTTAAGTTTTTATTAGAGCCATGTTATTTAAATCACATGTAAATATTACAGTTCTATTAAAATAGCTCATAAACAGCAAATTAAGTATTTTATACATTGCATTTGCTGCCTTAGGATTTAATTTTAACCTGCCGATTTGATATTTTAACTAAATGCAAGAAGTGCTTTCAGGTTTTTCCATTCTCTCTTAATCCCCTCAGAATGCACTTCACAACCATGGTAGTGGCACCACCAGTACTGCTACAGAATTTTACTTTGGAAAGAGAAGCCACCAAATCCCTTTGGAATCCAGTATTTTAAAGACTATTTAGCAGATTAAAGCAGAACCTCATGGTCACTCACTATTAATGTGATGGTGCTCTGTGATAGTAGCTGTTCCAGAATCACACTGTTTGCTGACAGCAATACTATCATGGGATAGGACCAATTTCACGTGTGCAATTAAGCATCTTCTCTCATAATCAGCTTCACTACTTAGTTTTGCAGTCCTAAGTTGCAACAACAGGCAGGCTGGCTCAGCAGACTGGCTTCCACAAAGCAACTGCAAGCAAGGCAGCCAACAGTGCCCCAAAAACCCCTCTTGTTACAGACATAAAAGCAGATCAAGGAGGAGGAAAGGAAATTTGGAGTTTTGGCCATAGTTTATCTTCACAAGTTTAGGCTACTGAAGGGAAGCAAATACATGTTCCTACAGCACAAACCTGCTTAAAACTTAGCCAGAAAGGTCATAATTGTTGAATTTTCTTTCAAGTGCATTAGTATTTTTTGAGACTAACACAAAATTATTTCCTTGTTCTAGAAAATAAAAAGAGTGCCTACCATTTTAAACACTTATTGTTCAGTTTATTGACAAAAATCAAACCAAAACAATTCCCATTTGCACATCTCCTGGCTATGTGAGCTCTAAGCTCTGAACAATCCCAATAGAACAGGGTAATGCAATGTTTGGTGCACATAAGTTCAGCCTGGTGTGTCCTGTGAAGTTCTGCCAGCTAAAACTACTTTCTTAAAAGCATTGCAGGTCTCCAGCCCCAGTGGTTTGACTTCTCCCATCAAAACTTGTCAAACTAATCCATCTCATCAGTGCACACAGAGCCAGCCCTCCAACAATAAACACCACCCGTGCCTAGAAAGCAGACTGGAAACACTATTTAATCCCACTGCCTGGTGTCACCCTGATCTGAAAGACCCACAACAGAGAGATAAGATACTTTGAGAAGATCCACCAATCTGACCCACCAGTAAAAAACACTGTTCTAAAGTATCACAGCAAAGAAACAAACCAGCATCGACCCTCAGACATGGAAATACTTAAGGAAATTGAAATTACTTTGTTTACAAGGCAGTCAAAGCAGGCTTGTAAACTGCCCCTGCAGTGTCACCTCTGAAGCCAAGCACCTCTCTTTGCACCCATGGTGGTGCAGCTCCCCACAGTGCCAGAGAAGGAGGTAAACCCCTGCAGTGGTGCAGCTCTGTGGGACCCCAGATCCTCCAGCCTGCTGGGGCCCACCAGCAGCTCTCCTCCCATTATGGTGTTGAAGTGTCACTTCTGCCCCCTACAAAAACTCCAAAGCACTTGCCAGAGAATACACTGGAGTGTGCCTGGGCTCTCAGAGGAAATGAGGACCAGCTTTGCCTGCCACAACAGAAGACATCCCGTGCCACCCTGACCAGCTCTTCCTCTGCCAACAGGAAAGCTTAACATTCACCAGGTTTCACCACAACGTTTTCAACTCCACACCTTGAAAAAGGTCACAGCTACCATAATTCTCAGTGCTACTTACAGCTTCTGTGCTTTTCCACCTCTTCCCCAGCCAGCATGTTCATACATGGAGACATCTCAACTGCAAACTCCCTCTCTCTGGTATCTACGCAGCCTGTTCCAGGAACAGACGTGTTTCCAGGGGAAATACAAAGGCTGCCCTACAGTAAACTCTTACAACTGCTGAGGTTTTCTTCCCTGCCAGCATGACAAATTGAACAGCATCTGTTTTTTTTGCTTAACATGAGCCCCAGCTGATGGCTAATCCTGCAGGATAACTACGTCACAGATGCTGAGACATGGACTTTGATCAGAAGAAACAGATGTGGGAGGATGCATCTTCCAAGATTTTTGTCAGTGCTAAGAGAATGTGAACTTAAAAAAAATGCTATGACTTACACTCTGTGGTCTTCCAGTTAATGAAGGAACACTAGCTTGAGTTTACTTTTAATAGAAATAACAATAACAGCAAAATATGCTTTTTTTATTGCTGCTTTGTCTGTTTTCAAATCCCCACAAAGAATTAAAAAACCATAATTAATCGTTTTTAACTGGACCAGCTCCTTGATCTGATTTGCCATGCAGCTGCACGAAAAACTATGCCAGGACAAGAGAGGAGATAGCACTAAAATGAGCAGCTGGGAAGGGGATGGGAACTGTTTATGGGCATTACTGCCAAAAGAAGAAATACTCCTCAAGCTACTGCCTTAAAGCACAGTTGCCAGCTCTTCCAGAAAAGAAGCTTTCACCATAGCATGCTGAAGTGAAGCTTTTCAGAACCTTCTCTCTACCACACAACATCCAAAAGGAGAGCTGAATGTCACCCTTTCCAGCCTAACTGCACTAGCTCTTTTCCCCTTTTTCACGAGAAAGAATGGGTAACACCAAAAGACAGGGGAAAAAAAGAAAAACACTGTGAGAACTGCAACCAGACAACACAAGGCAGCCCTCAGAAGCAGCCCTGTTTACATCTTCCCAAACATAACTCCTCAGTCCCTGAAGATGCTGGCACAATGTCAAAGATCTGCATTAACAACAAAGTGTGCTGCTGCATGTTCACTCTGCCAGGCCTCGAAACACCCTGTGGAGCTCCTAGCTCCGGACCCTGCAGCTCCCCCAGAGCCCCTCTCCTAAGGCCTGCTGTGTTTACAAGGGATCCCTCAGGCTGGCAAATGCAAAAGCAACACACCCCATTTCCAACACAGCACTGAGAACTCTGCAGTTAGGTCGAGGATGTATCTGCACTCCCAGTAGCAAGGAAAACTGCAAGAGCCAGCAAGGTAATTTTAAAATTCCTGTATGAATAAAGAAAGGAAGAAAATAACTGAGAGATCCTGAGCCCCCAGAATTCCCCAAGCATGACATAGGCTCCCCATAAGCTCTGTGGAAACCTCTGCTGAAGAAATCAATGTGACACTGATTCCTATCAGAAGTATAAACCTCACTGCCTGGCAGTCCATAGCTCACATAACATCCAGCCTTGGCATTTGACACCGACCCAGAGAAATTAGCAACTTGGGGCTGATGACAGCCTTACCTCCCTGCTGCCTACTACCTACGACCTTCAGACCTCCAAAATATTTTCCTATTTCAGCCCTGAATTCCCAAGAACCAAACAACTTGTCAGTTCAAACAAATACACACAGTAGAAGGTAATGTTGTTTCCACCTGTGGCACTTTTTAGGCTACAAACAGGGAAAAAACAAGCTCTCCCACTGATTTAACATCAGTTAAAACAAATATACATTAGAAGGTAACATTCTTTCCACCTGTGTCAATTTTTAGCCTAGAAACAGAGTGGAAACACTCGAGCACTGATTTAACACAAAGCAACAACACCAAATAACAAGTCAGTTAAAACAAGCCCACATGAGAAAGTAACATTTTTCCACCCATGTCCATTTTACAGGGAGGAAAAGAAGCACTCAGGCACTGATTTAGCACAAAGAACTTTACAGCTTGAAACGGCACTGCTAAAGACCCTGACCACTAAAACAAGTTTTCTAGAGACTGATTTGCTCCCTGAAAGCTGTGTGAAACAAAATCTTGTCTGCACGTACTTCAGCTTTTACCGAGAGCCATTTTACACATGTAAAAACAGTTCATCTATGAAAAGTGAAAGACAAAAACATGTGAGGACTAATCCAGGCTGCTGGCTTTTCAGAAGCTAAAGCAGAGCCACATGGATGGAAAACAGAAATTCAATCTCCCTCACCTTGATTTGCTTGCTTTACCTTTGTATAGCCCAATGAGAAAATTCTAGCTTTGATTTAATTAGTGCTTGGAGACGTGATGACACTACAGTCACATGACTTGTGTTTCCAGTAACACTGCATGGTCCACTTGGTCCCTGCTGAAAAGACAATCCTACTTGGAAAGATCCCAGAGCCCATTCATGTCCCTGAATATTATATTCTAAAAAAACTGGATCCAAGTGGACTATTAAAATAACTTTCTGAAATACATTTCTTTGAGGAAAGCTCTTTAAGATGCAGAGTTTTGCTTAAAAAGCAACTCTGAGCTTTGGTTTCATTGAGTCAATTGGCCAATAACCTGAGAAACAA